GGGGGGGGTGATACTAAGAACTCAATAGAAAGTAAATGTCTACAAAAGAATGAAAGCAACTATGTACAAACATGCCTGATTCAATTGATGTATGGGTTGTGATAAGAGTTGTACGAGCCCCCAATAAAATGTTTTTCAGTGGTGAAAAACTTGGCTTATACTCGAGTATATATGGTAGGTAAAACAAATAAAACCATAATAGTAAGGGAAGGAAATATTAAAGAACTAGAGGATAGCTATGTGTTTCTGGATTTATTCTGGATTTATCATACCTTTCCTGTGGCCCTTCTGAGATAATTGTGGCCAATTATCTTACAGATGGGTTTTGGCTCTCCACTACATTAATGCCCCTTCACATCAATTTGGTTGCTTATTTGTCTTTCATAAAGCTTTTATATATTTTTCAGATTGTTATCAGCTTATTTTCATCTGAGAGATATATAAAAGATTTATGAAAGACAAGGGAATAAAACTGAATGATCTTTTTGACCAAGGTGGCATCAACTCAACATTGAATTTAATGCTTTCTGGGCAAACAATGCAAAAGTCGTATATTGTGTGTGCACTCTATACAGTGTAAAGTACCCCTACCACCATGTGATTCGATTCTGAACACAGAACTATCTTTGAGCCTGAATCCTTATAAAGAATTATTTTGAAAAGTCAGCCAATCCCATGCCATCTTCAAGATTTTAGGGTATATTTGAATATAAACTACACTTAATATTTTTCATTAAATTAACTTTTAACTAAAAGTTGTTTTAAGAGAATATTTTATGTGAGTCAGAATCTACTCAAAGGCAGTGAGGTTGTTTTTTTTATTGTAAACATAAAATCAGTTTCTTTCTAATATACAAGGGTAAGTAAAAAAAGTATTGCTACTAGGATTCTAGTTAACACAAGCACAGGTTTATTCAAAAATAAAATATGTTTAAATGTGTCCCTGCAATCAGTAGATGGCTGAGGCCAAATTCTCTCAATAATGGACTTTTCCTAGCCTCATGACAGTGTAAACAGGCCATGTGCCTTGGCATCAATCTTTCTCTGGCTTGAGGTTCACAGCACAGGGACTCTGTGTTCAAAGAATGCACTCCACTCTTGACTCTTCTTTCTTGGTGGTAGTAGCTCCCTCTCTCCTTACTTCTCTCTCTTTTTATTTCTCGTAAGATAAAAAAGGTGCTTCAGTCACACCCCAAGTAAATTTCCCTTACATTGATTGGATCAGGATTATGATGGGCTTAAGGATGCTGCATTTGTCACATCAGAGGAAGATTACTCATCTAAACGCTGTATCACATCATTACCTAACTGCCGAACCACTAAGAATCACGGCCTAGTCAAGTTGACACAAATGTTGGGGAGACACAATTCAATCTATGACAGAGGGAATCTGCTGGCTAGTTGAATTCAAGGAAAAGAGGTTGAATCAGAAGGTTATGGCAACTGGTTTAGGGGGGGGGATTCTAAATGGGTAATCATGATAGATTTTTCTCCAAGAAAATCACAAAGGTTTACTATGAAACATTAATAAAATGGAAAACTTCATTGGTGAAAAAAAAAGGCCAGGAAAGATGTGCCATGGAATTTTCCCACCCAGAACACTTGCTCATTCTTCAAGGGTAGCAAGGACTTCTCTATTAGAATTTCACCGAGAAACCTTACTTTACACTTTTGAATGTACAGTCCTGATCTTGCCCCTTAAGACTTCTTTTTTGTTCCCCAAACTCAAAGAACATTTACATGGAACATAGTCTGAGTATCACAAAGATGTTAAAACTGTCATTTTGACATGGTGTAAGTCAAAGAGCATAGAATTCTTTGAGGGAAGGGTTAGAGATTCAGAATTGTATACGTGGAGGTAGCAAAGAAACCCAGGAATTGCACTGGGCAGAGCAGAGCTTTTGTAGTATGCATTTTTTATGCCAGGCAAGCATCATACAACTCGCTCTAAGTTAATGCACCCAGTGGCATCACCTGGGAAGGTTCTCTTTGGTCACAGTGAAGTTTTTTGTAAAGGCAGTTTCACTCAAACATCATTTTTTGTGATGGCTGATTTAGGAGGACAGTGTACAGCTATGAAATTTTGTTTCCTGCTCAGGAAAAATACCACAGAAACTGTTATGATGTTGAACACAACTTACAAGGACAGGGCTACAGGAATAACTCAAGTGTATGAGTGGTTTTCTCATTTCAAAAAAGGTGAAATGTCAACTGATGACAAACCACACTCTGGATGTCTGTCAACTTCCCAAATGGATGAAAATGTCAACTCGTAGTACTCATTCCGCCACTGTTAATCAAGTTTTCTATTTAGAGGTTCTGAAAGGATTGCATAACAGTATGTGACAAAAAGGCCTGATTTGTGACAAATGGGGGACAGGTTTTGCCAATTCACCTGCTCACACCGCCATCTCAGTGCACCATTTTTTTTGCCAAAAAAACCCCCCAAAACCAGCATGCCTCTCTTGCCCTAGGCACCTTACTCACCTGACCTCGCTTTGTATGACTTGTTTTTGTTTCTTCCAATGAAGAGGGCATGAAAGGAAAGCAATTTGATGGCGTAGAAAAGGTGAAGAAAAAAACGTGGGAGGTGCTTGTCAGCCATCCAAAGAGATGAGTTCGGAAAATGTTTTCAAGAATGGAATTGCGGATTTGACAAATGTATTAGGTATAATGGAGAGTCCTTTGAAGGTGATAAGGTTGTTTTGGAAATAAATTTAAATACATAACTGTGAGGAAAATATTCCAATTTTGGGGGTTCCTCCCTTGTACACCTCCACAACTAAAACCACTCACTGTCATCAGGTTTTAGTTCTGCTGTAACAGAAAAATCACAAGTGAGTGACTGTAGCAAATAGGTTATGATTCATCCTATAGTGACCCTATATGGCAAATAGAACAGTCCCTTTTGAGTTTCTGAGGCTGTAAATCTTTATAGGAACAGAAACCTCACCTTTCTCCCAAGGGATGGCAAGTAGGTTTGAACTGCTGACCTTGCATCCCAATTCTTAATGCACTATGCCACCAAGGCTCCTTCTATAGACCTAGATGGAAGCTATATCAACAATCACTTCATGTTTTGGTATTTTTGTTTAACACAGGTTTCCCTGATTTTTTGTAATCATACTTACAGAAGAACTGTCATATACGAAAATCACCCAAAACTATTAGTATTAGTATTAAAAATAACTCTGTCTGTGCATCCCTCACTCCAAGTGATCTAGATATACTAGGGCTGCACTTTGTGAAAATCAGCCTTTAAGGAACGAACTGACCCTTGAACACATTGTCCTGAGTGAAAAGTTCGTCTCCATTCAAAAGTTTAAAGGTTGAACACTCTATCATTGCTTAAGAGATGCCTCTTAAAAACAAAACAAAACAAAAAAACCTCCTGATTTACTTGAGGTAATCAACTGTTCATAGCCGGAAGAGAAAACTGTATTGTATATGTTTTTAAAAAGAATTAAATTTTTCCAGAACACTCTTCCATCAATCTCTTTTAAAGTTGGCCTGTCCATGAGTGCATGGCATTAGGGACATGCTAAAATTAGCTAAACTCAGCACCACACCAATCAGGACCCCAAGGCACCAGAAGAAGAGACAATATAGGTGGTGAGATTTCAGCTTAAGTTGGCTCCAATTGTGACAGCCAAGCCTACTTTCCTTCTCAAAAACAGCAACTGTTTTTGTGCATGAAAAGAAAAAAAATCCCACACATGCAAACTTACCACTTCTCATTATGCTGACACCACAGTTTCCCTTCTCAAATTTCACTCCTTCATACTTGTACCCTGTTGGGGGGGGGGGATTAAAATGTCATCTTTCATCAGTGGAGCATCCTACTTATTTTATAAGTTGGCTATAGTTTAAATCAGATAGGTTCAGAGCAACTCTTCTCCAGACACACTGTGAATGTCATGAAATTAGTCATGCTTTCCCATGGTTATTTCTTAATTCTTCATAAAAACTGGTGGAGATCATTGTAAAAAGTGGGGTTTATCAAATAAAAATACTTCTTATAGCATGATATTCATACACATTTTTCAAGTTGGATTCAGAGGAAAATCACTGTACTCAGAGAATACTAGAAATCCCATGAATTCAAAATAGAACCTGACAGTAGAGAGTTTCCTCGTTTTATTCCTTTTTATGAGTCTTGATTCGTCCTTAAACATAGAGGAGAGGCTAAAGTCCGTAACCAAGTTATGCTCAACCTTTGGTCCCATTGTGAATTTGTATCAATCATGATGCCACAAGCTCATCCCTCTATTTTCATCAAGTAACTCTTAGAATAGAACAATTTCCCATTTTTAACTAGAGGACCAAATCAGAACTTCAAAACTTTGGCTGCTTTCTTTTGAAGAGTAAAACAAAGCCTCATCTGAAATTTGTATTGCTTTTTGTTTTGTTCTGTTCTGTTAGGTTTGTTTGCAGTCTCATATTTTTACCTGGAGTTTCATTTCAAAACATTTAGTAACACAAGTGTTTCCCTGCAGAGGTAAAGATAAGCTGCCAGCAATTCTTAACTCTGATCCCACTAACCTATTCTGCATGCTGGAGAATATTTATTAGCATGTAACTTGAACTTACAAGCAAACCATCAACAAAAGTCACTCACATAATGTTTCCAAGTTTATTAAGAACAGCCTCACCTACACTCCGCATTTTGTATGCTGATTTATTTTTTCATTATTTCTTTTTCTCTTTAGATCTCTTTATTGGGGGCTCGTACAACTCTTATCACAATCCATACATCCATCCATTGTGTCAGGCACATTTGTACATTTGTCTCCCTCATCATTCTCAAAACACTTGCTTTCTACTTGGGCCCTTGGTATCAGCTCCTCATGCATGCTGATTTTTAATCAGACTGCTTTTTGCCCCTTTTCCCCTAAGTCCATTTCAGAATTGTAACCGTTCTGTTTACCTGTTGGAGTAGTCACCATGCATTCTTTATAAGGCAGCTGATTCAATCCCTCTTCCACAACAAGTCTGATCTAGAGAATCAAAGAGAGACTAAGTCAAGAACCTGATGAGAACCTATTGTTAGCTATAAGTCTCATGGACCAAGCACTAGATAGAGAATCAGTAGAACCCAAGGAACACTTCATTAGCTCTTGAAGGTAGGAAGTGGGTCCTTATCATTTGTGAGAGGTACGGGGTCTCCAGTTGCCAGGCTGCTTGCTACTAGGTGTCCACACCCTTTTGAGCACATGAAAGCCGCCAACATATTGAAATATACTTTCTGATCGTCATTAAGTTCATCTAGGTCTGTGTTTCCCAAAGTGGACAACACTGTCAGGGTGCTGTGTGTGTGCTAGAATGATCCCCAAACCCAAAGCAAACTCACTGCCATCAAGTCAATGCTGACTCATGGCGACCGTATGCATGATCCAGGGGGGCTGCAAAAGCAGCTGTCTACAGTTATCCTGGATTGTGGGCTACAGTACAAATGTTTTCCCAGGGAGTGTTGAGTGCTTTTTTCTTTCTTTCTGTTCTGAAAAGGGGGCAATAGGCCAAACTAAGTTTGGGAACCTGTCGTTGGTGTTAGTTGCCATTGAGTCAGTCCTAATCCATAGCAACTCTTATGCACAACAGAATGAAACACTGCCAAGTTCTATGTCATCCTCCTAATTGATCCTTTGTGAGTTCCTGTAAATCTATAGGCCAGGGGTCGGCAAACTTTTGAGACGGAAGAGTCAATCATGTCCCTGACCAACAATTTAAAAATTAACTATTCAAGATCCATAAATATATATACAGTATATTACATACAGATGAAATCACCATTATCTAAATAATATCCTTTAATATTTTTTTTCCATTTTACTTCAGGGGCACATATACTTACTTATGGCTCAAGAACTGCAGTTTATTGATCCCTGATCTAGGATATATTATGAGAAATGCAAAATTACCAATGTCAAGAGGCATTACTAGTACCCTTAGGTCCTGTATATATTCCTGGGTACCTGCATATATTGGTACCTGTATATATTCCTGGTTACTCTGGAAGTAGGGTCCATTGGTAACTGCTTGGGCCTGTTCAGTACCTTTGAAGTTGCTAAGCTGAATTATTTTCAATAAAGGAACAAAGACTAAATAACTAAATCCATTGACAGAGAATCTATTTCAACTCATAGTTACCCTATAGGATAGAGTAGAACTGCCCCATAAGATTTCTAAGACTGTAATTCTTGGTAGAAACAAACTACCGGATCATTTTTTTTCTCAAGGACGTGGGTTTGAATTGCCAACTTTTGAGTTCACATCACAGCACTTGACCACTGTGTCATCAGGTCGCCTAAAAAAGAAGCATGACACCTAAAAAAGAACCATGACAATATAAAGCTCCAAACTTCCTGCTTAAGTTAGTGGACAGGTTAAATCAATTTATTGAGCTTTAAGAAGGACCCAGTCAAATACATTCAGACTTCTCAGTTAAAGAAGAGGCTCCCAATAATCATGAAATGTGGTACAGAGTAAAGAATCACTTAGAACTGCTAAGAACAGCTTCTGAAAACAAGATATGGTATGGTATTTCCATATACAACCAGGGTCTACTACAATGTAAGGTATATTTCCCTCAATTAATCTTTCATTATTGATAGAGGATCAGGAACAGAAAGGAACATTGCCAGGCCCTATGCTATATTATTTGACTGTTATCACAACACAACACTTTGCTGCAATTAAAAAGGATCAATGGTAAGTAGCTTAGTATCCTGTCAGTCTGCAGCAGCTTATAGAGAGCCCACTAACCTCATAAATATTGTGTGTGCACACACATGCACACACCTGCCTTTAGCCACCATCTTCTGTGGAGATATCCGAGGAGGTACCCCCAGCCCCCCAAAACGCTAGAATTTTTTTTCAAAGCAATGTATTTAATTTTTTTAACAAAACCACCTTATCACCTTCAAAGGGCTCTCCATTACACTTAATACATTTGTCAAATCTGCGATTCCATTCTTGGAAACATTTTTCAAGCTCATCTCTTTGGATGGCTGGCAGCACCTCCCACGTTTTTTTTTCCTCTCCTTTTCTACGCCATCAAATTGCTGTCCTTTCATGCCCTCTTCATTTAAGGAAACAAAAACAAGTCGTACAAAGTGAGGTCATGTGAGTAAGGTGCCTAGGGCAAGAGAGGCATGCTGTTTTTTGCCAAAAATTGGTGCACTGAGATGGCTGTGTGAGCAGGTACATTTTTGTGGTGGTAAAACCAGTCCCTGGTTTGCCACAAATCGGGCCTTTTTGTCGCACACTTCTATGCAATCTTTTCAGAAGCTCTAAATAGAAAGCTGATGGAATGAGCAGTATGAATTGACATTTTTGTCCATTTGGGAAGTTGACAAGACATCCAGAACGAGGTTTCTCATCAATTGGCACTTCACCTTTTTTTAAATGAGAAAACCACTCATACACTTGAGTCTTTTCCATAGCACTGTCCTTGTAAGCTGTGTTCACCATCACAACAGTTTCTGCGACATTTTTCCCTGAGCAGGAAACAAAATTTCACAGCTACATGCTGTTTGTTCTCTAAAATCAACCATCACAAAAAACGAGGTTCAAGCAAAACTGCTTTTACAAAAAAAAAAAAAGTCACCATGACCAGAGAGAACCTTCCCAGGCGATGCCTCTGGGTGCAATAACTCAGAGCTAGTGGCTCAAAGCTCACCTAGTGGGAAAATTTGTGTATTAAGAAAGCTCTGCCCAGATATGACAAAATAACAATTTATAAATTATCAAGGGCTCATGAGGGAGGGGGGAGCGGGGAGGGAGGGGGAAAATGAGGACCTAATGTCGGGGGTTTAAGTGGAGAGGAAATGTTTTGAGAATGATGAGGCCAATGAATGTACAAATGCGCGTTACACAATTGATGCATGTATGGAATGTGATAAGAGTTGTATGAGCCCCTAATAAAATGATTTTAAAAAATAAAAGAAAGCTCTGTCCAGCAGAGCTATTTCCCACTGGGGGGGTATCCCCTCATATAGATCTCTTATGAACAAAATGCAAGGGTAAAAGAGAATTACTTTCTTTTAAGAGCTTATTCCTCCTCCACCTAAGCATACTGTTCTAAAAGTTTTTAGCCCCCACTCCATTCCCTACATCCCTGAGGCAGAAATGACAATGTGTCTAGATTTACAGGAAAACATAAAACCAGAAAAAGAGTGACTGAGGGCCAGGGAAACCAACCCTGGAAATCCAGGACATTCCGAGCGTCAATTATAATGGGCTTCTTGTGTTAGATGAGACCGTGCACTAGAACTCCTCAACACTGGAAATCTGGACAGCTCTAGGTCTCTACCACCACAACAGACTATCCATTCTGTCTCCCCAGAAAAGGTGGGAACCCTCAGAGTTAATGCAGAGAACAGAGAAGTGCAAATAAACAATGTTTCCACCAAAGTATGCCCTAGGCCTTTATTATCACAGTTGCTCTTTCACTGAAGCATTTTATAATAATTTGAACTTAATTTCTAATTTCTATAGAAAAATGGGCAACATGGACGACAAAAGTAAGAGGATACATTTTCTGCCAGTGGCCACAAAGACTTCCCAGAATCTATTAAGACCTTTCTCCTTCAATCTGCTCCTTTGATTTCATAAATGCATAAAAAACAGAATGACCTAACTATTACATCAACAATGCCAACTACATTTATCTTGGTATAATGCAAGGTTTACTACTGACTCCAGAAACTCAAATCATTTTAAATAAACTGGTGTGTGTAACAAGGATTTTTATTGGCAAAAGTAGAATAGGCATTGTCTACACTTTTTTTGGAATAAATTCTCCAACTAAAAGCTAAATGATCATTTTTCCCACATATCCATTAATAACCTATATTCTACAATCTGATTATACCTTAGATATTAAACAACATATTTCTTTCATTCCCAAACCAAATATCAAATGCTAGCAATAATACATAGGTTGTATGCTCCACACACACCCGAAATATGTTTATATACTTTAGTGCAGCCTCACCTCCCCATGAACACAGCCCAGCATTGTGTTGGACACACATATTGTTGTTAGATGTTGGCAAGCTAGTTATGATTCATATCAATCCTATGTACAACAGAATGAAATTCTACCATGCCTTGTACCATTCCCACATCTGTTCCAATATTTGAGCCCACTGTTGTAGCTACTCTGTCGATCTATCTTATTGAAGGTTTTCCTCTTTTCGGTCGACCTGTTACTTTAACAAGCATGATGTCCTTCCCCAAGGACTGCTCACGCCTTTCAAGTCTCACCATCCTCACTTTGATGAACTCATTCTGGATATAATTCCTTCAAGACATTCTTCTGGCCGTCTACAGTAAATTCAACATTCTTCACAAACACAATTCAAAAACATCACTCTTCTTCGGTTTCATTATTTATTGTACAGCATTCACTTGTATATGAGGTGATTAAAAAAACTACAGCTTGGGTTTCAGGAGAAAGATGGGGCTTTCTACTCCTGTAAACAGTTACAGTCTCAGAATCTCACTAGGGCAGTTCTACCCTGCCCTATAGGGTCGCTATACGTCAGCATCGACTCGATGGCAGTGAGTTATGGCTTGGATCAGACATCCATCAGTCCTCGAAGGGACAGCTTTACCTTTGGCACTTTAAAGAAATCTTTTGCAGCAGGCGTCTCAATGTAATAAGTCATTTGATTTCCCGACTGCTACTTCCATAGGCATTGATTATGGATCCAAGTAAAATGAAATCTTCGACAACTTTAGTCTTTTTCTCTGTTTTATTATGCCATTGTTTCTTGGTCCGGGTGTGAGGATTTATGTTGAAGTATAATTCATCATGAAGGCTGTGGTCTTTGATCTTCATCAGTAAGGGACTCAAGTTCTCTTTACTTTCAGGAAGCAAGGTCATGTTATTTGCATGTTAATGAGTCTTCTGCCAATCCAAATGCTGCATTTTTCTTTGTACAGGCCAGCTTCTTGAAGTATCGGTTCCGCACACAGATTAAATAAGTTTGGG